CTGAAAACCATCTGCTTTTAGATCCACAGCATGTAAAATTTTCCACAAATACACAGAGCTTAATGGAAAGTTCCAGGGCAAAATCTGAGAGACAAACCACAATGTCAGCATAATCTAGTAAATTAACAGCTGCTCAGATTACAGCACTTCAAACGGGAATCATCTAAATCAAATATCTGAATGCTTTTCCACTATGTCAAAGTATGGGAAAGTTGATTTAGAGCCAGCTGTGTCAGTAGGCTCAGAGAGGCAAGCTGCCTCATGTAACTGATTTTAGGAACCATGAAAAGGCACCAAATTGTGATTTAATTTATTCTTGTATTTTTACAACACAAAATCTTGGTTTTGGTCTTTGATGGGGAAGAAGGTGCACTTGGATGGGTCTTGGTACATTGATGAGAAAGAGGGAACACTGTGTACTATCCCCCATATCCCAAGCAACAGAATATATTGAGTAGCCTGTATGACTCCTCCTCTCTGCTATTCTAGTTTGTGATCTGCAACACTTTTCTGCTGGGACAGGGTTTGCTTTCTTCTTGGATACTGCCTTGGTGTTTCTTAGATGTATTAAGTCTCTTTTTAAATTAAGGGACGTGTGTGATCACCAACATTTTGGGCCAACGTTAATTGTCTGCCAACCCCCGAAGTAAAACACGAGAATAAAAGACACAACACCAATGTTTGGATTCAAATTCAACTTTTATTCAGCGTTACCTATTTAAGTTCTTAACCTAACTCAAGGGTGCAAGGAACTGGTGTAACCTAACCCAGGTAGTATCACTACCCGATAATAACAATTTCCGGGCGAAGCACCTGGGTTTTCGGTAATCAAACCGTATCACCATCAAGGGAAAGGAATGAGGAGTCTCTTCCAGAGCTCTTGTATCGAGACTCCTTCCAATTAAAGGCCATTTAACTACACCTCACCCTTTAAACTGTAGGTGAGTGTTTAACTTAACGGCCTTTCACCCCTTAAAGGGGTGCCCTAGGTGCACACCGACTAAAGGAATTTCCCTATCTATTTACGCCACGGATTGGGGGCAAATGTCTATTTCGCCCCCATCCCCCACCAATTCCTCCAACACCCCTCTAATACCTTCCTGTAAATCCAACAAAAATCGTTGGTTGCCCAATTCCGAAAGATGTACTCCATCACCACGATATAACCTCTCGTCGTCACGTGTGATGTTTGGGTGCTCAATGTAATGACCCCTCTGATGGATCATGAACAGTCGCATGGCCCGGTTCACTCGTTTTCTGGCTTTTTCCAGCCTCCCCACGTCGCCTCCTCCAGCCACTTGCGACGAGGTATGATAGCAGACCAAACGACGTGCACCCGGGGCCATGTCCACCAAATCTTTCGAATGTCCGCCCGTGCTTGCAAAAAGAGGGCTTTGCCTGTTAGCAGGCCCAAATCGTTACCACCGAGGTGGATAACCAACACATCAGGAGGGGGCCCACTCCTGGCATCAAACAACAAGGGGCACAAACCGTCCCAACGCAGGCCTCTCTCGCCTCTCCATTCCACCGTTGCCGTGGAAGCAAGACCCAAGTGCTGGCCATAGGCAGTCTTGTGGGCCTCTCTTCTGCCCAGAAGACAAAACTGTGTCCGCAGACCAGGACCCTCCTTCTATGTGCCAGCCCTGCGCGACCTGTAACGATAACGATAACTAGGATGAAACTGACCGTACGTAACTTCTGAACGCACCGGACCTCCATCTACCTATAGCTTTGATTTCATCATTTCCGTATCCCATTGCTGCTGCTGCCGTGGCAGCTCCAATCCTAAATGAGTGGGTCCCAAATTTAAGGTGTCCCATTCCCAGGAGGTCCAGTGCCTTAGCTGTGATGGTCCAGAACTGGTATTTGGTCAGCGGTTTTCCATCCTGATGGCAAAACAAGTAACTTTTCTCAATGCCCCTGAGTGCCGTAAATTGTGTCATGGCCACCACGGGGCATAGGTCTTCCTCTCCGCATTTTAGCAGCCTAATCACCTGACCTTTCGACCCCTGGTCTGTTTTGGAAGTTCTAATTCTGATTTCCATGCTATCTTGAAAAACCTTAACGTCGGAAACCAGAAGTGTGCGGTGTGATGTATCGTTCTTGGATAATGCCACCAATTCACTCACCCGAAGAGCTGCAAAAAATGCTGCATGAAATAAGACCTGCACGTAATATGATGTGCACAGGCTGGGCCATAGCTGCTTAAGTCCCTTAAGAATTGCAGGTGTCATCGGCTGCTGGTCGTCCCTGAGATGCCCGCGCTGCCTAGACCATCCCGTTAAAATTTTATGTATTCGAAAGTCATCAGTAGGATCGCTAAGGCCCTAGGCCTTGAACCAATATGCGAGCGCTGACAACTTTGACCTAATGGATTGGGGTGCCAAGCCTCTCCTCCTATGGTAGACACGAAACTGGGCCAATTGCTCGTAAGGCACCGGCATGGTTTCGGGTAATTTATAATGTTGTCTAAAATCTAAGAATTCCTGGACTGCCCTAACACTGATGTTATGCCGAGCGTAGGCCAACGCTCGGGCCACCTTTCCGCACACCAGTGCCCCTCAAAGTAGACTCCAAATCCTATCGCCCCTGAGGCGTTTGAAGAAACTTGTAATGCATTTTTAACCAACAATTCCTGACGCCAGAACGAAATAACGTTAAACTGGCGCAGGAATTGCAGCCAAATGAACAAATCTGCCTTTATTTCTAGTGTCAGTCTAATGTGGTGGTGGGGCAAAGTAACACCAGCGATAGCGTCGCACAATCTTCGAAGAAAGGCCCGGCTGGGCGCTATAACCTTACATGCGAAATTTAATTGGCCTATTATCTGTTGGAATTCTCTTAAGGTGGCCTTATGCCGTGGTAAGAAGTTTCCTATCCTGTCAATCAAACCTTCCACCTTTTCCGCCGGCAGCCTAGAAAATTGATTGACTGTGTCCAGTTCTATACCCAAAAATGTCAAAACTGTAAGGGGACCTTCCGTTTTTTCCTCAGCTAGGGGCACTCCCAACGACCACGCTAGCTGCTGAAAAGCGCGTAACGGGGCACCGCAGTCCCCTGATCCGCCCTTCCCTACGAAAAGAAAGTCGTCAAGATAATGCACGACACCTCTGAGGCCTGACTTTGTTTTTATAGCCCATTCGAGAAAAGTACTGAAAGCTTCAAAAGTGGCGCAAGACACTGCGCACCCCATAGGCAAAGCCCGATCGAAATAGAAAAGTCCCTGAAACTGGAATCCTAGTAACTCAAAGTCAGCCGGATGAACCGGGAGCAGCCTGAAAGCCGACTTAATATCGCACTTGGCTAATTCTGCTCCCGGCCCATAACGCCGCACCAATTGAACTGCTGCATCGAATGAGGCGTAGCTAACTGAACATTGCTCATCGGGAATAGCGTCATTCACTGATCCTCCTCTTGGGTAGGACAAATGATGAATGAGGCGGTATTCGCCGATGGCTTTTTTAGGAACTATTCCTAGAGGGGAAACCCTAAACTGAGCGGTGGGGGGTGCAGCAAATGGACCCAACACCCTGCCCTCCTTAACTTCCTTATCTATCTTTTACCTGACTATAGTCTCCAGGCCTATAACCGATTTTAAATTGGGCGATAAACAGGGGGAACGCGGCCCAAGGGCCGGAATCCGAAAACCCTCCATAAAGCCGCGCAGCAAGTAATTTGCCGCAGCTCTGTCAGGGTATCTTTTCAGCCAACAACTAAGCGGACCCACCTTGATTGGGCTGGGGCCCTTTTGGAACATTAACCTGTGGTGGGTTCCTCCTATTGAATTGGGTGTCTCTTGGCGCAATTCTTGTGGGTTTTCCCTTGTAACAGCTCTTGGCTGCGTGGTTACCCTGGCATATTGTACAGGCGTGCTGATATTTGCAGTTCTTGCGGGAGCAAGCTCCCTGGGCCGTGTATTCCCAGCACATACTCCTTTGCCTTTGTGGCTGATGTGCTGGGCCTCCCTGCCGAAAGGGCTGACTTTCTTTACTGTTTTGGATGGTGTGGCCACTATCGGCCTTCTCACCAGAAACTGCTCTGGTTGTATTCATCACCTCCATCCACAATTGACTATCGATGAGGTCCCATCGCTTGTTAGGCATCGTGGCGGCCTTAGTACGAAAGCGGCTATCGTAAACCAGCCACGCCTGACCAGTGTAATTGACATATGCCCCATATATTATATTTTGATATTTAAACGGGGACTTAGCCCTGTAAGGGTGAGCTTCCACTATCAAGGATGAGTATATGGTATAACAAGCTATCCAATTCTTCCAATTATGCTCAACCCGCCTTTTCTTTAGCTTTTCTTTGCGCTCTTCGTCCAAGTCCTCTTTTTCCTTCTTTTCTAACTCCCTAAAGTACAAGGAAAACATATCTATATACTCATTCCTGAGTATCTTGTCTATGGTTTTTTGTGACAAATGAGCCCCCAACGAGGCTGAGGCCACCGTTGAAACTATCGGCACTACCCATTTATCGGTTCCCCAATACTGGTTTTCCTCCCCCGTCCTTGCCATTTCTAAGGTTATTGGGGCAAC